ATTAAAGCCAGCCTATTTTCCACCCCAAAATACTTTTCACTTTACAAATTCAAGTTGGATCATTTTTGTTCTTCTGATGTACCTGATAGTGTCTGAATATGTATGATGGAAGTTTTAACTATTCAAATTTTATAATCTGTGTTAGTTTGGGACTGGTCTCATTTCACTTATCTTTCTCCACTCTCTGACCTACATAGCAATTAAGATTTTACTTTTAATTATGTATATGCCTGGGTCTATGTGTGGATATGTGTACCTGTGAGCCCCTATGTGTCAGATCCCCTGGATCTAGAGTTACAGGTAGTCTGACACGAGTGCTTGAAGTCAGACCTAGATCCTCTCCAAGAGTAGTAAGTGCTCTTAACTGCTGAGCCTTTTCTACAGCCCCATTAACACTTTTTGATTGGCCATACATTCTGGATTTTATTTGCTGGGTATTAGATATTTTTCCATTCCTATAGCCTTGCTCTGAAAGGCTATTGCATAATCACAGCCCTATGGGAAGCAGGATGGTATGTGTGTAGACAGAAAGCAAAGGGTCCTGGAAGATTGGAACTAGAGACAGAGATGAGCTTGCCACCATTATAACAGCAGGTTTAAACAAGAAGCCAAAATGGAAGTAACCATGCTGGTCAGTTTTATCACAAACTAAGTCATTTTTGAAAGAGGGACATCAATGAGAACCCATCCTCCCCCTATGATACTGGCCTGTGGTGCTTGTTCTTGAAGTGGGAGAGCCCAGTTCACTGTGGGCTATGCCACCACAGACAGGTGGTCCTAGGATATGATAGGGGATGTCTTTCTATATGCTGTGAATGTTTCTTTTATTGGTTGATAAATAAAACTGTAGAGCTACCAGACTAGGAGAATTCTGGGAGGATTGTGAGTCTTGAGATGCCATGTAGTCACTGGGAAGTTAAGATGCCTGGGCATTCTCCAGTAAGCGAAGATCATGTGGAGATACATAGATTACTAGAAATATGTTAATTAAGAGAGAGCAAGTCAGTAATAAGCCTGAGCCATTGGCCAAACTGTTTATAATTAATATAAGCCTCTGTGTGTGTTTACTTGGGACAATTCTGACTACAGGGATATACAAGAAAGCAGGCTGAACAAGCTATTAGGAGCAACCAGGTAAGCACTGGTTCTCCATGGCATCTGCATGGAGTTCCTGCCACCAGGTCCCTCCCAACTTTCCTCAGTGATCTAGTTCACTATGGAACTCTGTAATCAGAAACAAACCCTTTCCTTCCCAAGTTGCTTTTGGTCGACAGTTTTACCCAACAACACAAACCCTAAGACAGTAACAGTCATAGTTTTAACTACATGCTGAAATAGAGTAAGAGACTGTGAAGGCTATCTTTGGTTGTCAACCTAACTACATCTGAAATGCACTACAACCCCAAAATGGAGGGCACACCTGAGATCCAGACCTTGAGGCAGGATGACACTTGCCTTTAATTTAGATTTTGAGGTGGGAAGGCACACCTTTAATCTGGGCACACCTGCTGGAAGCTCAAGGACAACGGGAGAAGGAAGGTTTGTTCCTTCTTCCTTTGCCTGTTTGCCCCTTGCCTTATCGGTTCACTGGCATTGGAGCCTACTTTGGGATTCTAGCATATACAGAAGACCAGCTGGGACACCCAGCCTCCTGGGTGGATAAATATATTTGTTCTAAAAGATCTGTGACTCTAGAGAACCCTGACTAATAACAGAAAACTAAACCAAAAAGAGAGATCTACTTCCCTCTTAACCCCTCCCAAAACAGTACACCCAGATCTAGTACATTAACAGATAGGTCTTCACCACCCAGGGAACCCTGAAAAGGTTTCTGCAATATTGTGGATGGGCAAATGCAGTAGGGACTGAGTATAAAAGGGTCCTCCAGTGGTAGATATGTTGAAGGCTCTGACCTCATGAATGCATTATTCCTTTGATGACTTCATAATTGGATGGAGTGTTGGGAGATGAAATCTATGAGTATCTATAGTAGCATGCCTCTGGGACTATTTCCATCCCTGGCCTTATGATCTCTTGCTTCCTCTGCTGCTCAGCTGCCATGTAGTGAGCGGCTTCTCTCTACTCTGTGCTCCTCACCCTCAAGTTCTGCTTCATGACCACAACAAAAAGCAGCCAAGTGAGCATGGACAGAAACTGTGGGACAGTAATAATAAATCTACCATCTTTACTTTAAAGGCATGTTGTCATAGAAACAGAAAATTGATAGTACAGAGGAAAGAAAGGACTAGGAGTGGAGAAAATACCAAGTAAAGTGTGAAGTCCTCCCCAGGAGGCTTCTGCTGACATACTCGGGAAGCCTCTGCCAAAAGTCCTCAGAGACTGACCCTCCACCCCAGTTGATGAGGAAGTGTTCGGGAAAATGAACCCAGAAGATACAAATGCTCATCCTGGAACTTTTTTTTTTTTTTATTCCCCAATTAGCCTTTGTCAAAATCAGTTTTTTTCCTTGGGGGATTCCAAGTTCATTATAGTGAACATGAATGAAACACAGTGAAAATAAACACAAGCCACTTTGGCAAACTCAAAGGTCAAATACTCATTATTACTAACTTTCTAAAGGCAAAGAAAAATTAGGATAAGAGTTGAAAAGAATGTGATCAATTAAATAATATTCCCATTATGGCTATCATTATATAGAGGGAAACAACCAACAAAAAAAAGTTATAGCAATTGGCAACTTTAATATTTAAGAAAAATTAAGTCCATATACACATTAAAAAATATAGGAAACTTCATGCAGACATGAAGCTTCCAATTCAACCTTCTGGCAATGTTTAGAATGTGAATTACATATAAATACCATATCCTTTACAGTTCTCAAACTTGATTATTTCATACTGTGATTTCTGCAGCTTCCCTGTATATTTTATATGCCCTATCTTGCTCACTGATCATAACCTAAATTTGTACCATCTCCGAAAGTCAGACTTAAAAACCAATAAGCACATGATTACCTTATGAAAATGAAAAATTTGTGTATAGAACAAACTTAAAAAGAATTTAAAATTTCAAGGCTAAACCTAAATATAAAAAATATAAAACCAAACTCCAGTGATACATCTATTAATGATTTATACCACATTTTCAAGTTTAGAATATATTAACTTCAAAAGCAATTAAGAGAAAAGTGATGCAAATTTATAAGGAAATTCTTTAAAAATATTCATGATATAAGGAAGAAAAACTAAAAATGAATGAAATAACTGACTTCAGAGTTAAGTAAAATATGTAATTTAGAAATGTAAGTAGTATTACAAAGAGTAAAACATGACAGAAAAAAAAAAAAAAAAAACAAAAACAAAAAACCTTTAGGTAACAAAACCAACCCACCAGTGTCAGTCTGTTCTTGCCTTGGTAAGAAAAACAAAACCCGGGCTATAAAAATACTACAAAATGAATAAAAAGCATTCCTAAATTACAACTAAGAAAACAAAAACATGCATTCCTTGCTGTTCAATGAATGTCTTTAAAATACATTTCTTTAATTTTTTTTTTTTTCCTTAAGAAAAAAATAATCCCAGTGCTGGGCATTGGTGGCCCACGCCTTTAATCCCAGCAGCACTCGGAGGCAGAGGCAAGTGGATCTCTGTTAGTTTGAGACCAACCTGGTTTACAGAGTTAGTGCCAGGACAGGCTCCAAAGCAATACAGAGAAACCCTGTCAAAAAACCAAAATACTAATTCTACTACTAATAATAATAATTCAGGGAGATTTTTCACCTTTGAAAATAGTGAGAATTTCCACCAAATGAACATTTATTAAGTACTGAGTACTGGAAGAACAAGAAATACTTTGAAAAGATAAGTAAAATTGACTCCATGGAGCCAATATACTTCAATAAGGGGAGGAGAGATGACAAAAATTCCTGCATTGTGTAGAACTCTCAACTAGAATGACAGCAGGTCCTATAGACTCCCAAACCTAAGCAACACAGAGGCCTAGAGGTTTATACGTAAGGCTTCTTATTAAAGCATGGCAACAAGGCAGTTATGCCACCAGCACATACAAACTTCATCTAATACAAATGACACAGAGGCCACAGCCATCTGTAAAATATTCAGCAAGAGCTTTCTTTTCTTGTAGATGTTAAAACATCAGCTATCTTTGCTTTCCTAGCTAATGGATACAGAGTAACAAACATTAACAGTAACAAGGAAAACTACCCCCCAAGACAGGCCTCCTTAGAGGTAGAAAATCAAAGCAGCATGCAGACTGTTTAAACTCCAAACATATTGGACAAAACTGGGATTAATCCGAAATTCCACGAATGGCAGCTGTCTAGGATATTGAAGACACAGACCATGGGTATTACCTTATCCCTGAATTTCATACTCAAAACTTCTCACATTAATTCTATCATGACAGTTTTTAGTAAAATACAATTTAACTAAAAAAGTGCTTGCTTTCATAAGCCACATATTTAATAAATGACATCATTGTAAACATTACACTGACAAACTTTATAACTCATTTCTAATTTGAAGTTATGTGTTCCAGATGGGCAGTTTTTATTCTTATTTTTTCAGTTACTTAACACTGATTTAAAAAAAAAAAAAAAAAAAAAAACTTTTGAGCTTCTGAATGTTTTTATCTTATAGATTTCAAAAGAATCCAGGAGTTAATAGAAGATTCATTTTAGCATGGACAAAGACTGAAGTTCTCTGTTGATGTATTTCATTAACTCTTCACCTGTGATACAACTGAATTAGTATTCTATAGAAGACACATTTGATGCCTTTCTAAATTCAGGTGAGCTAAGAAAAAAACAACCAAATTTGAATAATGAAAGGACAGTTTCAAATTTCTTTTTTAAGTATAGATTATTTAGGTCCAATGTAAACAAAGCTCCATTTCCAGATGCTGAATGTGAGAGGATCCTTAGGCTCTTCTAAAAGTAATACAGGCAACGGAAAAGCTCAACAGGAGATTAGAGTGGACTTTAGTACTATTGGTCATTAATATGGCAGACTTGCAACAGCTTCATGAAGATGGGAGTTTAGGTTTATTTTCTTAAAGAAAGACAATTTTGGGCTTCAAAGAAAAAAGTACTTGAAGATATTTCCTCCATTATATACCTGCATGGGAGATATTTTCTCCATTATTTTTCTTGTGCAGTATAAATCTGCATCATATAGTATATTTCTGAAAAAAAAAAAACCAATAGATATTATTAAGAAAATAGACGCTATTTCTAAATTTTGTTAGGAATAAGAAGGCACCACTGATTTGAGGTTGTGTCCTGTTGTCACTGATAGTTGACTGTGAGTTGTTTATTTCAGCATTTGTTCATATTAAACTTTTTTTCTGGGTAATATCACTTAAGACCATTACTGTGGCTTCCGGACCACAAACAAAACACATTCATAGTAGTATTTCATCATTGAGAGATCATTCACAGTATATGTTGACAATACAGATTCTTTTTCCACCTGTAATACAAACAAAAATCATAATAAGATCATGATGGCAACACTATTCACAAATAATAAGAAGTTAGTAGTGGGTGCTACCATAATTGTATGTAAACAATACTCCCCATAAGACTGATAGCATCCATAATCTCACAACATTAACAGGTCATGTAAGTTCAGTATCATACTACTAATGTGGTTAAAAATGGATTAAAATTCATGCAATCTTAATTACAAAATGCTATAAATGTATTGCTTCTCTTTATTCTTAAGAATAAATCCATTTTTGTAAAGAGTATAATAGTCCTAAATAAGTAAATAACCAACTCAACAGCCAAAGTACCATAAAATCTTATTTAATACAGAGGTGGGGGAGAGGAGAAAGACAGGAAGTAGGAAGTAAGATACAAAGAACTGCCTTCTCATTACCCACCTTCTCAGAGCCTATTTTTGATACCTGTCAGTGAAAAATTACCCAGGCCATTCATTATCAGCTACCATTTACTGAAAGTCTATTTCAACAGGAATTGTAGTTTTCCCTTTACATAAATACTGTCGTAAATCTTTACAATTAAGAAACAATAGCTCTTCTATCTGGCTGAGAAATAGAGAAGTGAAGATGTTAATAACTGCTATAATGCCTACTTCCCTGTTTAAAGGCTTTCAAGTTCAACTTTGGTACTCTTTCTTACCTCCAGTTGGAATCCATACTGCAGAACAACATTTTTAATATCCTCATAGCTCAATTCTATAGAAAGTTCATTTGCCAGATTTTCAAAATGGTACAGTAAAGGACCTATGGTATGAAGATACTATGAATGAGTTACATGAACATAAGCATGTACTAATAGCTTTGTACACTGAATTACAGATGAGTAGGAAATAAGGTAAAAATGAAAAGATCCACTACATTTGCTGAAAACAATTATTCATACTTGTGAAACACAAACCCATCAGTTTCAGTTAAGAAAACCCCATGTCACAATTGTATCCACAGATTACTCTATATAGTCTTGCCTTTACCTTTGATTGAGTTCATCATAAATCCTACATACTGCTCCATTTACACTCCTCAGACAACATACTGAGATTGAAAAAAAAAAAAAAAAAAAAAAAAAAAGCTAGGGAGATAAAAGTAACAAGTGAGTCAGTTTCTGCTAAGAGGCTTTGCCATCCTGTGGGTAAACTCTTATTTCTCCTTTAGTTTCCAGGTAGTGTAAACAGAGCTCTTAATTGGCTCAGATAATAAAAACCCAGAGTCAGACATAGAGGGAAATACTGAGAGATCAGAGAGAAGGAGCAAGCCACATCACACCTTACTTCTATACTCTCAGCAGACAAGAGAGCTATTCCCTGTTTCTCCCTGCTTATATCCTGTTTCTGCCCACCTACTTCACTTCCTGTCTGTCTATACAGACCTCAAGACCTCTTTAGTTAGCTAATGGCAAGCTCCATTCTCTGACCCTCAGACAGGCTTTATTTATACATGCAAGATATCACCACATAGCCCCATTTTTGTCTAAAAATTAAAAAAGGTTATAACTCACATAAGAAAAACTATATACAATAAGTACAGTTACTATATGCAATATATAAGTACATTAACAATATCCAGTCCATTAGCATATGACAAATTCCAAGAAAATACTCCATTCTCTATTCTTCCTTGATGAGTTCAAAGTCTTGTACCTAATTTACTTTCTATTTTAATTTGCATTATCAAATTATCTTTTAATGTCTTTCAAGCCTATTACACTTAACACATCTATACTGAATTTCTTTACTGATTCTGGTAAACAAGGTAAACAGGGAAAGATGTAACTATACTATTTACCCTTCAACTCCCTCAAAGATCAAGAAAGCAATAACATTAACTGAATAAACAAAAGTGTGAGCAAGCGACTTCCAAAAACTGTGAGTAATGACAGAAACAGCTGATTGCCTGGACAATCACCCAAGACTGCTCAGCAAGTTGGGGCATCCATCTTCAGCCTATAGGCCTAGCATATCTGACAGCCTTTGACATGGCAAGACTAGCCATTAGGGGAAGAAACTGCTCTTGCCTGGATTGTCTGACTGTATGCTGTATAAACAGGACATGCAAGACCCACAGGAAAGAGCCTTCTGAACTAGACAAAACAAGATGGGACAGTCCTTCAGTGTTCCTGCTTCATGGAAGAGTCTGCCAGACATTCTACAGGACACAGAGAAAAATGACTAACAAACTGCCAATACAGGCAGGGCAGTTTCAAATTTTCTGTCTTAATGAGCAGTCTTGCTGGACACTCTAGGCTTATAGGCTGAAGATGGATGCCTCCACATTACAGAGGAACTTTGGGTGACTGACAAGATGTCTCTGTTAATTCCAGAATTCATATATTATCTTTCTGAGGTCTTTGATGGAATTGAAGATAGTTATGGTTATGGTTTTTCTTAGTTACGATAAAAGAAGTTACATATACAATTTTAAACTCACAAACATAGGATAGATGACAGAATATTTTCTTTAAATTTTGCCAAATGTTACTGGGCTAAATATTGTTAACTATAGTTCTTACTTGATAACTGTTTTGTTATATATAATTTACTATGCTAAAGTTCAAACCTTCCTTTTTATTTAGACAGAAAAGAGGAGATGATGGGGGAATGTCCTTCTGTATATGTTTCTCTTATTGGTTGATGAATAAAATACTGATTGGCCGGTAGCCAGGCAGGAAGTATAGGCGGGGCTACCAGACCAAGAGAATTCTGTGGAGAGCATATAAAGAGCTGCCAGAGAGACACCATGTAGCTGCCGAAGGAATAACAAACAGGTCCAGACATTCTCCAGTTAAGATAAGACCATGTAGAAATACATAGATTAATAGTTATGGGTTAATAATTAAGAGAGACTAGCCAGTAAGAAGCCTAAGCCATTGGTCTAACAGTTTATAATTAATATAAGCCTCTGTGTATTTATTTGGGACTAAAGGGCTTTGGAACTTGGTGGAACAGAAACTTAGTCTACAAGGTAGGGTTTTTCAATGTAGCCCAGGAGGCCTTGAACACCAGATCCTCCCACCTCAGCCTCTCAGATGCTAAGAATTTAGTCATGCTGCCCTCCCCCTCACTTCTATTTTTTATCCTACCTAAACCACCAGAATAACTGTCCATGCATATAATTAATGTTAGCACACTTTTCAAAATAACAGTGGTTCTTCTTTAAAAACCTACTCTTAACTGAGACAATTTCTGGCCATCTGTTCAGTTCTAAACTGTATCAAAGCCTTTTTAGAGTGCAAAGCTTCACAGCAATCTTTATAGCCTTTGAAGCTTATTTTATGCTTGTATTTCACTTCCTTTTAAATGTTTATCTTTATGTGCATGGATGTTTAGCCTGTGAGCATGTATATGTACCATGTAGAGGCCAGAAGATGGCACCAGGACCTCTTAAACTGGAGGTAGAAGGTTGTGAGTGAGCCACTACCATGTGGGTACTGGGCCTAAACCTGGGTTCTCTGCAAGAGCAGTAAATTCTCTTAACCACTGAGCCATCTCTACAACCTTCCTTGCTCTATTGTTTTAAGTACATCTGAAAATACAGTTTTGGAGGTATAACCCCCCCCCCATAAGTCATTGTATTGTCTTTCCACTCCCTTGTTTGTTCTCAAAAGTCTATAAAGCCCTATCCCTCAAACTCAAACTTTAGCTATGCTTCAAAATTATGATGAAATCTGTTAAGTCCAGCCTGATCATTATTGCAAAGGCTAATCTTGTTTGTCAACTTGATGCACCTGGGAAGAGTTGGCTCCTTAAGACTGACCTGTGAGTATGTTAATGAGTCATGTTATGGTTGTTAATTTTGTAAAAGATCCTCATCCACTGTGGGAAGTATCATCCTTAGACATTTGGGCCCAGGGTGTGTAAGGAAAGTAGATGAGCAAGCCAGAGAAAGCAACCAGGAAGTAGAATTCCTTTGTTGTTTCTGCTTCAAACTCCTGCCTGCCTTGGCTTCCCTGCATGATTGACTATATATATAAACTAAAATAAGCCATTCACAGTACAACATCCTTCCTTAAAAACTCATTTACTGCAGTGTTATATCACACACTACCTTCAGGTGAGTATCAGTATTCTTAATTTGCAAACAAAGCATCAAGCAATATGACACAGATGATTGTGGTACATATGAACAGTGTGCACACCAAAGTCGGAGGATGACAATGGATATCCTTCTCTATCGTTCTCTACATTATTTCTTCAAGATACGGTCTCTCACTGAACCTGGAACCATCTACGGTAGTGGCCAGTAAGCCCCAGGGATCCTCTTATCTCCGTCTCTCACAGTGCTGGGGTTTTAGGGTTGCTCATGGCAACAGCTGACTTTTCATTTTATAAGCCTTATTTTATTTATGTTGTGTCTTTGTTGAGTGCATGCCACGTTTCTGCAGATACCTGTAGAGGCCTAAAGAAGGCATCAGATTCACCCAGTGATTGAAATACAGGCTGTTATAAACCATGAATCCTGGGGCTGGGAACCGAACCCAGCCTACCAAAAGAGTAGCAAGCACTCTTAACATCTAAGCTGTGTCTCTAACTGAATACCTGGCTTTGTATGTGGGTGGTAGGATTTAAATTCAGGTCTTCATGCTTGCATAGCAAACATTCCCACCCATATAACCATCTCACCAGCCCAAAGAAGATATCTTTAAATTTAAGTCTACCAAAATGACCAGTAAATGCTGATTATATAACTTAAGAGTTTATAACATTACCAGTTAAGGACAGTAACTGGTGTGAATACATTTTGTAGTCTTTTGTTATAAATTGTGCTTTGACAGATATCTCCGCATATCTCAGATCTTCCCTTACACAAAAATACTTCTTGAGACAACAAATATTTTTACTGACTTGTTTCAACCTGCCAAGAGTTACAGATGGAGGTCCCTTATCCAAAGTACTTGAATACAGATGTTTTAGACTTTAGAATACTTACATATACAAAAGGAGGTAGAGGAGAGGACTGAGTCCAACCACAAAACTAGTTTGCTTCACATATACTTAATTGCATAGCCTGATAGTTCTCTGGACAGTACTGAACAACCAAGGACTAAAACTAATTTTGTACAATACTTTTAGTACATGCTGCCTGTGATCTGTCAGATGAGATCATGTATGAACTTTGCCACCTGGCATATGAACATTTTAGATTTTTAAGCAATTTAGACTTTCAAGTTAGGAAAGATCTGCATAGATTTTTCACTCACAACTGCATGAGAAGGAATTGGAACTATTACTCTGGAAAACAGGTTAGTAGTTTCTGGCAAAATTTGCTACCCTCACCATAAATTTATTTGCTAGGTACTAAACCAAGAGAAATGAAATTTGTTTGTTTTGTTTTGTTTTTGTTTTTTAAGACAGGGTTTCAAGGCTGGCCTCAAACTCTCAGAAATCCACCTGCCTCTGCCTCCCAGGTGCTGGGATTAACGGGTATGTGGCACCACTGCCTGGCCCGTGAAATGAAATTTTATAGCCAAACTTAAGATTCTGTGCCAAGTGTTGATAGCAACTTTATTCCTAACCAGCAGAGTCTGGAAAACAAAATCAAATGTCCATCCATTGAGAACTGATAAATAAAATGTCACCTATCCATCCAGTGAAATATCACTCAGCAATAAAAGGAAACAACATTGGTTATGTGGCAACCTTCGTGAGTCTGAAAAGCATCATGTGAGATAATGGAACCCTGACACATAAAGCACTACACTGTAGGCCTCTGGCTATGCAATATTCATGAAAGGGGGTAACTGCAGTTACAGAAACCCAAACAACAGTTGCCAGTTTTTGTTTGTTTTTTTTTTTCTCTCCAATTATCAGCTCTCTTCATATTAAAAGGACAAAGATGCATTTCCCTTAATCATAAAATATAGAGTAAGCTCATAATAGACAGTTCAAGCAACATGAAACATCATCAAAAGAAAATAAAACCATTTCTAATCCATTTACTGACTCTCAGTAGAAAATATATTCTATCTCCTTACAGGCTTTCCTTGATGCACAGTATAAAGTATTACAAGTGTGGTGTAGCGTCTTAAGCTTTATTCATTATTTCTAAGGAATATGCTTACTATGGAAGTCTTAAACTACTTATCTATTTCCTGCTGTTAGGAGACAAGTCCAGTCTAAAATGTGTTGGGCATACCTGTTCATTAACTGACTTTTAGTGTTAGTCCTCATCTAATTATTTTCTTCTGACGGAAAATATAATTTAACAAATATATAATATTAGCAAATACTTAAGGCTTTGTGGGCCACATATACTCCCCATATCACTTATTCATATTTTTCCCCTTGCCCTTAAAAAAAAAAAAAAAAACACAAAGCATTCATAGCTGATAGGGCCAGAAAAACTGGAAAAGGGCTACATTTAACATAGACTTAACAGTTACAGTAACAGCTCATTGGCTTTCCCTAACCTGAGGAGGGTTATAGAAATTGTCTTAACTTTTCCTTTAAGGGTTTTATAAGTTACAAATCCTTACAATTCTGACTTGATACAATTTAGGGAGTTGGTCACTAATTTTGCTTCAATGTCAGAATGAGAAGATTGTTGGCAGCTGCAATCTTACATATGAAAATATTGATTCTAGTCTCAATAATCATACAGTAAAACCTACTTCCAAGGGGGCTGGTACAAGAAAACTAAGTCTCTAGATCCATGAGCTGATATCAAAACCATAGGGATGTCTATTTAGTAGTATAAATGCCACTGTTTCATGTCTCTAGGCAGCCAATTTCCCTGTCTGACTTTATTCCTTCTTTCAAATCTTTAATACATTCATCCATAAACATAGCAGTCAGTAAGGACCCACTATTTGTCAGGATCTATATTCAGTGACTAGGAGGCATTAGAGCCTTACTGTCATACAACTACAACATGAAGGGGAAGGGGCAGGTACAGGGGAAGACGCAAAGCCCTGAGAATTCAGATCACTAAAGGCATTGCATATAACCCTAAAGAGTAGAAATTATCAAAAAAAGCTTTATAATTCTGTATAAGGAGACTGCCAGGCACAGACTTGCATGTTGAAAAGGTAATCCTGGGGGAGGGCCTATGCTCTGCCCCAAATGATGAGACAGACTTTGATGATCCCCCCATAAGAGGCCTCACCCTTCCTGAGGAGTGGATGGGGGGGGTGGCATGGGGCACTGGCGAGGGGAATGGGAGGACAGGAGGGAGAGGGAACTGGGATTGGTATATAAAATAAGTTTGCCTTTAATATAATTAAAAATTAATTTTAAAAAAAGTAACCCTGTTTTGGGGGTGGGGAGGAAAAAGGAATATGGAGGATTACTAAATTAATCTTACTCCAGGGAAGCAATGATGAAGTTATAGCAATGGTTCTAAACTGGGAACAATTCTGCCTTGCTAAGGAACATTTTCCAGTGTCTGAAGATGATACAGACTGAATGTCTGGGACCCATGTCTCCCCTTTCCAGCTGGTATATGACAGCCTTAGTGTTGAGTTCAGCTGCATTTGAAGGTAGGGTCTATCAGGAAACAGGAAACAACTACAGTTAATAAGAGCATAAAAATGGGGTCAGGACCTGACCTAATTAGTCTCTTCATGTAAAACACCTGGTCCATTTCTTTTATCCTCTGGCTCCTTCCTCTCCAGCCCCAACAACCTTACCAAAGAGTCAGGTAAACATATGGCATCAAGAAAGTAGCTATGCTAGCTAATTTTATGTCAGCTTGACACAGGCCATAATCACCAGAAAGGATGGAGCCTCAACTGAGAAAATGTCTCCATGAGATCCAGTGCATGCAAGCCTATAGAACACTGGTTCTCAAGCTGTGGTTCATGACCATGGGCAAACATTTTTTCTGAAGGTCTTAGGACCTGAGACACTGTTGAATAGTGAAGTAGAGTTATGAAGTAGCAACAAAAATCATTTTATGACTGGGGGCCACCACACATGAAGAGCTGTATTAAAGGGCCGCAGCATTAAGAAGGTTGAGAATCACCGCTATAGGGCATTTTCTTAATTAATGATTGATGGAGGAGGAACCAGCCCATTGTGTATGGTGCCATCCCTGAGCTGGTGGTCCTGGGTGGGAAGATTTACTACTTTTAGCCTTGGTCCTGATGGGAAAAAAAAAAATTTCTAGTAAAAAATAATATCATTATATAGTACATTTTGCAGAACCTCAGCAATAAACTCTGTCTTTCTGTATCTGTCCTTTTCTGTGGTAGAGTCTTCATCATGAAAGTCTCATATTCAAAGTGGTTAATTTTCTGAACATAGGGAACACATCACACTTACGGGAGAGAGGTTCACTTAAATGGACATTTCACCATACTCCCTCTATCTTTAAAAGGAGAAAATAAGCAATTCCCTTTAGATTCTCGATAAAGAAAAAAAGTCATACTCATAATTTTATGTCTATTATCAAGCAATAGGCTCAAAGTACCAGGGTTTCTTGCATATATGAAATTGTATTTCTATTACTTCTTAAACTCATGGTACTTAGAAACATGATCTCATCTACTAGGGAGGAGAATTCCATGGTGGAGGTAAAATCCTTCTTCTAAAGATTAAAAACATTAAAAACATTCTCCTCTTCTATGTGTATGAACTTTTTTTTTTTGAAAATAGATTCTACTCCCATACATAATACATCCCAACCAGTTTCCCCGCCCTCCATTCTTTCTAGCTTCCCACACAGCCACTCTCTCCCAGACCCACTCCCCCTCCATTCCCTCTTCAGAGAAGAGCAGGTCTCCGAGAGATGCCAGTCAGACAGGACAAAACAAGATACAATAAGACAAGGTCAAAGCTCTCTTATCAAGGCTGGACAAAAAAAAACCTAATAGGAGGAAGAAAGTCTCCAGAGCATGCAGAAGAGTCAGATATGCTCCCCCCTGTGAAGAGTCCTATAAGAACATCAAGCTAAGCACCAAAGGACCTGGTGCAGACCCATGTAGGCCCCATGCTTGCTGCTTCAGTCTCTGAAACACTCTCTTGAGAGAATGAAATGCCACCACCTACATGGAGTGGGGAAGAGTACAAGGGACTGAGTACTGAATCAGCGGATTAAACTTAGTATATGCTCAAGTGAAGACCCATGCGGCTGACCTAAGAGGGTCATCCCAATGCTTGGACTGCCACAGCTTGCAGGAGGTATCACCTGCTCGGATGTAGTCTAACAGAAAATACAACAAAATTATAATGTTCATGAGCATCTGGTACTGTGCCACTACCAAATGGAAGAGAACTCTAATCCTAAGACAGATGTATAAAATGTTAATGAACATTAAAGCACTTACCAAGGTTTATCCAAATTCCACCTGGCTTGAGTATTCTCCATATTGTATCGATATAATCAATTACATTGTGAGCTGTGTCTATGAAGAAACAGGTGGCAATACAGTCCCAGGTATCTAATCAAAAGAAATCAGACCACTGCATCTGTTATTTTGTTTATGTTTTTTTTTCTTTCACCCTTTAAGCTTGTCAACTATTTCAAAGTATTATTATTTCATTTACCTGAAGGTATATAGACACTGTACTATAATGATAAACACTATAATCCAGATGATTATAGCACAGCAGATACAGTAATTGGTTTGGAAATCATTTGTTATTAACACATCACTACATATTACCAAATGAGCTAAAGAGTTGCTTAGCACCTACTCAACTGATAGCCTTTAGTCCCACTATGTCTACTTCTGTGATACTTGTAACTAAACCTATGGTCTTAAGCTAGGGAAGTGCTCTGTGACTGGGCTACTCTAGCTCTCATCTAAAATCTGTTAAAATTAACAGTCACCTTAAATTCTAAGTTCTGATTTAAACCAGTGCTAATCCCTGATTCTGGCAGGTTTTAGAAGTAGGCCTTTCTTGCCATTTTGAGTAATGATGACATCAAAATACCCAAATACCTTCCATGACTTGATAATCATTAGGGAGAAGATGGTTGGGGAAGACACAGGGAAAGGTGGGCCCCCAACAAGAACACTGTTTAGCTTTTGGAAGCTATTCCAAGCCACGCAGAGGTAGGGACCAGATTCAAGATGTAGTGTCTATTCTAATTCTGATGTGGTAAAAATGCCCTGCCTAAGAGATCATCTGAGTCCTCTTCCAGTCCCAGTCAGAGGAAAATTATTCTTAGTTGCATCGTGATGCTTTCCACTATTTCACTATTCTGAGATCTTGTTCCTTAACATTTACCTAACAGCTTAACCTGTGTTCTTTTCTAACTTCAGAATGCAGGTTGTCCCAATCTCAGAATTTAGGAAAATAAAAATCTGTTTTAGGAAATTAGATACACAAAATCTTTCAGTGCTCTAAGCCATCGTCTTCTTGAGGCTTTCTACCCCTCAGAGTACAACTCAATTTATTGCTTTGAATTGGCCTAACCAACCCCTCTGCCCTCTTCCCCACCCTAACCTTGCTAAACACAGCCAAGTGCTGCCCTAACCCCCTTGCTATTCCTAAACATGCAAGCGACAATTTCCTTCTTAGTTTCTATTTTATTCCAAACAATACTGTACCTTAGGGTCTCTCAGTCCCTTCCAGAGTACTACATGTCCTGTGGCTAGGGACTTTGTCCTGCGAACTGTTGTTTTTTTGAATGTCTAGAATGTACTCATCACTTCAGGTGGCAAACAGATTTGTTGAAAGAATGCTCTTGCTGCTGCTCAGAACTGTTTTCCTTCTTCCTGCTCCTGTCAGTTCACAAGCTCCCCTTTCCATGACTGCCTTCCTCCAATATCATCCATAATCTGCCAGACTGAAATTGAACTTCCAACCTGAGACAACTGAGTCTTCTACAACTGAAGCTAACCTACTTTTTAGGACATAGCTCCCATAAAATTTCTAACCCTGCCGTAGTCCCCGATGACCTTATTCTTTTGTGTCTTTGTACCTCGAATAACTATTGGTCTGGGTCCATCAAGTCACAGTCTCTTTGCTGAGAGCTCCATTACTGCTATTTTTATTTCCATCTTACTGCAGTAAGTACACATCATTTGGATGCTTTAAAAATTGTTTTTTATTAACAGAGTCAACATCTCTTGAATGTGCATCTATTTCCTGTTGCTGCCTTTTTCCCTACCTTAAAAATACTCTATAATGTCCCCGACATTGCACATCTTCTATTCTGTCATCAAAACAGTTATAACACTGGGTCACCATTTTGAGTAGCAGATAAGTTTTAAATACTTGCTTTGAACTTACTGCATTCTGAGTAAATCTCCTGAAAGTCTCCTGCTGTCATTGAAAAGTTAGAACCTGGAGGAAGGCTGTGGGGGTCAACATCAGGGAAAAAAATGGGTCGAATCTGATCAGCTGACCTCCGATTATTGCTAAACTGATGGATCCAGGGATAAAGTTGATATTTGTTTATTTCAGAACATCTGTAAAATATGAACATAAGGTTCAATGTTAACTATACATTTTACCAAAAAAGAATCTACTTTAAACACTAAAGTATCTATTGGTAGAAAGTTTTATTAACTTATTAGACTTGAAAAGTGTTAATCTAAACTTCACTCGGTTATCTGAACCTGTGTATACATGTAGATGACCAACCATGGATTAAAAGAAAGAAATCAGAGATTCTCATGTGTTATTCATTCGAATTTATTAAAAAATATTAAACATTTGTTGGTTTTTGAGAAAGGGTCTTATGTAGCCCAGCCTGGTCTTGAAGTCACTGTGTACTAAAGATGACACTGAATTTTTGATCCTCCTGTTTTTACCCCACAAAAGCTGAAATTAGAGGCCTGTGCCACCACACCCAGCAAAAATGTATTCCTGAACATCAAACCAGTAAAAACAAGGAAACTAGTCTTGGTATCTATTTTTACCATTTTATATGTAATCTTCTTCTTCCCCCATATCACCAGCAACTCATACTGCCACCAATAACACAGCCTTGCATTGAAGAACTCAGTAAGTTACCAATAATGTGCTATTGAAACAGGCAGCTAATTCTTTGTCTCTAACACACTGTAACTTCTGACTTAAAAATAGTAACTCTTTTCTACTACCTTCTGGTAGAAGACACAGAACTTCTCAGACCTCATTCAAAATCAGTTATGTGAACATGTGTGGCCACTTACTGCAAAGTCAGTTAGTGAAAACAGTTAAAAATGTTACCATAAACTCTTCATCAAGAAACAAAAGGTGAAAAAGCTTAAAAAACAATGAGAAAATCATAATTAACACTAACCAATCTATAGAGAAATTGTTTTAGTTTTATGGAATGCCCAATTACTTTCTAAACAGTTGTTTGCTTGCCCTGTGTCAACATGCTAGGTAATTAACACTGGCTACAGTAGCAATCAATATAAACATTATGAGTGTAATGTAAACATGATCTATATCAGTCAAGTACTATATACTTTTCTTCTAATTCAGAATTGGTCAAAAACAGGTAAAGCAATTTGATTTTGAGAAGTTACTATTTCCAGCAAAAAGTAAATTAAATACCTGTTGAGTACAAAGTTGGAAGAAAAGAGCATAAAAAAACTCCATTCATTTCCTTGACAAGCATAACCTAGCATAGCTATTTCCCAGGCCAATCTTCCTAGTCCAGCACCAGGTACCAGAATATTTACTTTAGAAGGATCCCTGAAATGAAACAAGGCAATTATATCCAGCCCCTCAAAGAGGAAAAAAAAAAAAAAATTAAAAAAAGATAAAATCCATATTAACAACCAAAAATTTACTGAATTATTCAATAAGAATAAGCTTACTCAGACTCTTAACTTCTTAAACTGAAATATTTCCAAATATCAATAAAAATAAGAGATAGAAGGAATCATCACATTATCAAGTGAGGGTTTTATTCCCCCCCAAAAAAATACTTTTCAGGAAAAAAAAAATGGAATCACATTGTATCTAAAGACTTACAGTTATTCTTATTTCTGGGAAGATAAATAATCCCAATGATCCCCGAATTACATATGGGACGTTTGAACAATTACTTCATTATGAGGAAGAAAACACTTTACTTCTTAGCTCATACAGCGAAATGATTTACAGAACCAAATGAACCATATTTAGATTTTAATGGGTAAAATCTATCTCTAAAATTTTATAGATCTTGGATCCAGAAAGGAAAGGGCCAAAGTTCTGGACACAGTAGTTCATACCTGTAATTCCAGGACTGGGAGGCTCACAGGACTACCATTGAGTTTGAGACTAGCCTGGTCCTCAATGTAAATTCCACAGTAGCTTGGGAGACAAAATAGGACTCTGTTTCTCCTGTCCCTACCTCTCTCAAAAGACAGAGGAAGGAGTAGAGGGACAAATATTAATTCTCTTGGAGAAAATGGGCAACTGCCTTCTTTTCCAAAGGGTTTCATTAAGTAGCCCAGACTGGCCTCAAACTCATGACCTTCCTGCCACAGTTCCCCTTCAAGTACTTCTGGTCAAGCATTCATCACAAATACACCGCGCCAAACCAGAGGACCTATTTATCCCATCACAAATACGCTACATGTTCCTCTTCTCTAAGTTCTGCTAGTCTACTTTCAAATTGCAATACACTTTAGGAAAATAAGAAGTAGGGGACAGGGAACTTTTCTCGGGAACCCTGGCAAATCAAACTATAGGGTCAGCAAGATCACTCAGTGGTAAAAGCAGCTGTGACTAAGGCTGATAAACCAGAGAGAACAAACCCTTTTGGACTATCCCCTGAACTCCACATGTACCATCATGTGCATGCACTGGTATACACATGAAGACATGCATGCACACACACATATAACTTTTCTTTAATTGGGGGGGGGTTCACATTTGTATAGGAAACAAAAGGAAACTGTGTGTGACCAGTTGGTAACATTTCTATAAAAAAAGGAATTTAACTGTTAACATTTCACAAATCTAATTCTATTTCAAACCATTCAAATCTTATAAGCTACTGTTCCCTGGGGTCTTGCACTCACAAAGAAATATGGGGTATTTTTACTAGCATTTTATTCTATAGGGAATCTTAGCATATTCCATTTAAAAGCAAACAAGAAAAGAAACTTGGGGCCAGGGAAATGACCCAGTCATTAAAGTGCTTGCCATGCAAGCCTGAGCCAGGCAATCCCAGCACCAGGAAGGCAAAGACATGAGGATCCCCAGGGATTGTTGGCCAGGCTGTCTAGCTGAATTAGTGAGCTTCAGGTTCAGTGAGAGACCCTATTTAAAAAAATAAGACGATGAACAATTGAGGAAGACACCAATGTTAGTTCCGGCCTCCACAAGCATGTGTACCCACATACACACGTACATCTTCAATCCCAGGAGATCGAAGCAGGTGGATCATTGTGAATTTGAGGCCACCCTTGACTACATACATAGTGAGTGAGTTCCAGGCCGGCTAGGGCTACACAATGAAAATTTTGTCTTTAAAGAAACAAAATAAAAAAAACCCAACAAGAACAATTTAGTAACTTATAGAAGATTAACTTTATGGTTGCTTTTATCAAAATTTCTCTAACCAGAACCACGTACTTTGTGCCAAGAGGTAACCTGATATACTGCTATTAAAAGGCACCAAGACACAAAATACAGAATACATCAAGTTAGCAGAGACTACTACAGATCTTCAAAATGTTTGTATTATGACAAACAGGTATTTTCAAAGGGCCTTAAAACAATTCAGTAGAATAAAAATATGATTGATCAAAAACCAAACAAGTAATGGGGGAGATGGCAAGAATGCTTTCCTAAATGTGTAATAGTAACTAGATGTTTCCCCCAAAGGTATACCTGCTGATATCAATCTTTAAGAAGTCTCAAGCATTTATTTTCATGGAGAAGAGAAATAAAATAATCAAATGTATCCTGCTTGAGATTCTCAGCAAAAAAAAAAAAAAAAAAAAAAAAAAAAAAAGCAGCAAGCTGACCAAGTAAGCAAGATGCATTTACTATAAATATGACCCCTAAAACACATGAGAAAAGTCTCAGCAGCTCATTTAAGACAGGAGTGAAGAAGAGGTGGGCCAATGAGGACAAAACCAGACAGACACAGGCAGACTAGACTGTCTTCCCAACAGTAAACATTCTTGACAGAAATTTAAGTAACTAACTGTACCTTTGCTTTACAAATTGCAAACTAACACACTATACTTGTTTTGTGGTATCAAAACAGTGACACTTGGCTGACCCCTGGTGGTAGAAATATTCTGGGAATTTAGTTTAACATCATCTGTGTCTGCTAGTTTACTTTTCTTCAAAGCACTTAAAATTACATATGGACCTTATATTTACAGTCTACATATGCTCATAAGTTCTAAACAGTGGTCTATACAAATAAACCACTAAAACATTATGCCAGGACCAGAACAGCCAGGGCTACACAGAGAAACCCTGTCAAGAAAAACTAAAATGAATAGATAACCCAACTACAGGCATCTACATTACTTCTAATGTTTTGGTATTATAATATTAGAATAATTTCCACATACACAAGTAAGTCTGTAAATTAGATTCAACAAAACTGGACTCTAAGATTTTGACGAACACCACCAAAAAAAAATATCCTCCATAAAATATTTACTAATTTTTCTTTCACAAGAAACATGTTTGTTTCTCCACAGCTTCACTGCTTCCTAATTATCAGGGTTTGCAATACATTATATGAAAAATGGCTTAACACAGCTTTCAGACTTGAATTTTCTTGTGAGATTACATTATGTTCCTTTTATGCCAATGTATGCCCTCTTTTTGAATTATACCACTGAGATATTATTCTAGAATTATGAAATCTGAGATTCTGATTTAAATGAACACATTCCTGTTTTCAGTCAAGAAGGCTTTCAGAATAAGAGACAATGCTCTTCACCCTAGACAATCGCATCTGGCACTCCACACTCCTCCATCTTCTCTTTTAAAAGGGATTCCCTTAAGCTAACAGATCCCTTCATAAATATAATTAAAGTCTTGATTTTAATATAAATAGAAAAAGGTTTCTTAAAACTGAGTATTTTTCCTAAAAACTATGAGAAAAATAAATTTTCACCAAGTCTGCCTGTCAATCAGTGTCTTCTTAGAGTACAGTGACATATCCGTAACATTACCCCAAATTGTCTTAAAATAGGCTACTGAGTTAAGATCTTAAAACAACTTAACTGAGCGTTTAAGACAGGCTCACATATATGTTCTTTATAGCACTGAACCAGCAGCAGACACTTGCAGAAACTGGACATCTGTTTTGTTGTTTTTCTCTGTTGTTTGTTTGGGTGAAAATTTCAATATACACTACGCTACCAAAGTATAGCATTACTCTGTCCTTGTGCTCATATTTAAGAAAACAGTTCAGCTAAGCATGGATTTTTGGTTTTTTTTTTTTTGCTTTGCTTTTTTGAGATAGGGTTTCTCTGTGTAGCCTTGGCTATTCTGGAACTCGCTTTGTAGACCATGCTGCACTCCAATTCAGTTTAAAGTCATGCACCACCAACGCTTAGCTAAGCTTGGATTTTAAATGAAAATAAAACAAAACAAAGAATACTGTTTGTTAACTTCAATGTGCAACTGTTCACAATAGCAGCATAGAAAACCACCTTAGGGTAAAACCAAAGCAGAGACCAGTGATCTGGCATTTGGCAAAATACAGAAAGCATTTCCTCATCAACACAAACCCCTTGCAGAATCTGTGCCTTCAAATTTTGTACTTAAAATTCAAGCACATTATTCCCAAACATGAACAAACAGGTAAAATAAACATATTTACATAAAACATGTTAATGATCAAACCCAAGTAGTTCTATGCATATTTGTTAAATATACTATCTTTATACACATTTCAGAACGGCCATCACTGAAATCTCAGTAGGTAAGGCAGTTTAAACTGAGTCCAATCCAGCTCAAGTAGAAATAAGGCTGCCAAGTTCTTATGCCTGCTGTGGCACCATCTGAGATAATGCTTTATCCAGAACTAACTTGAACTCTGAAGGGCTATAACTAATGTGCCTCATCCAGGTTCTTTTCTTTCTCTGAAACAGGGTTTTGCTGTGCAACACGGGCTAGCCTCAAATGCACAATCATCCCGCTTCAGCTGTGTAAGAACACAGGTACATGAACCCATGCCTACACCTGGCTCTGGGGGTTTACATTTTATGCGAAAGCTGTGACATACATATATATACATACATACATATATCCTTACTGTTTAAGTTTGTATCTACTATAAGGCAACTAATTAAGTAAAATAATACAAAATAATACAGAAGGAAATACATAATTTTCCCATCAGGTCTAAGACTGGGCGTATTAAGCATCCCCCCCATCCATATATTTCACGTAAACTTTGAGAGTGTGTGTATGTATATCTTTATGTCTATAATATTCCTTGTTATTTTCAGGGATGGAAGGTGGGTGACTGGAGAGCAGTGACTGAAGACTCACATCCTTCTTAACCCTGAACTCTGAGATCTTTTATCTACTGAAAAATACCCCTAATTGTCTTTTACCATTAATGTCATTTACTAGAGCCACCTAGAATTAGTTAATTCACCCATTTGCCTGCTTATAATCTGTCAACACTGTAATAGCAGAAAAGTAACTATAAAACAATAGTGAGTTTGCAAGCTTACTAAGTCCCTTTAACAACAACATGCTCTTTTTTTTTTAAAGGTAGGCTAGTATTGAAAGGGTGATTAGACACAGTAGTATATATTATTCAACAATCTGAGTCTGAATAAAATTATAAATAATTGAAATTATATTGACATAATTTCAAACTTTGTTACACTCAAATTTTAAAGAGCCTTACTTTAAAATCTACTTTCAGAAATAAAGATACTTTGAATTTCCAGGGACACGTAGCCTTTAAAGAAGCCATTATTTAATACTTTATTGACCAAAGCACTGATGACATTCAGAGAAAACTAGAAACATTAAAACAAATAATATCCCTATAGAAGTAATGATGTTTATAAAGGTTCGTAAACTTAAAGAAATTATAAAAACTATAAAAAGTTAATATGAGATTAGCTCATTGTTCTAATAGCTACAGAATCCTTCATGAACTAATAAGAATATTAGGTGGAAAGAATAGAGAGCAAGAAAAGAGATACCTTAATAGAGTGAGACATTGTAGGTTTAAAGAGAAATCTGGCACTAGGGAAATGTCCAGAGATATACTAGAATGACTTACCTCAACTAAGAATCTAAGCAATAGGGGAGAGGCTATCTTAAATGCCCTTCCCCTGTAATGAGATTGATGACTACCTTATATGCCATCCTAGAGCCTTCATCCAGTAGCTGATGGAAACAGAAGCAGAGACCCACAGCTAAGCACAGAGCTGAATTCCTAAAATTCAGTTGTGGGAGGGAGGAGTGATGAGCAAAGGGGTTAAGACCATGCTGGGAAAACCCACAGAAATAGCTGACCTGAACAAGGGGGAGTTCATGGACCCCAGACAGACATCTTGGAAACCAGCATAGGACTGACCCAGATCTCTTGCATGTGGGTGTCAGTTAGGAGGCCTAGACTGTCTATGGGGTCCCTGGTAATGGAACATTTATACATAGTGTACGAATGAACATTGGGAGCCCACTCCTCAAAGACACATAGGGGAAGGCTTAGGCCCTGCCCCAAATGGTGTGACAGACTTTGATGATCCCCCATAGAAGGCCTCGTCCTTTCTATGAAGCAGAAGAGGGATGGGATGGGGGTTGGTTGGGGGCATGGGAGAATGGGAGGGGAGGGAACTGGGATTGATAAATAAGATTGTTTCTAATTAAAAAAAAAAAAAAAGAATCTTAGGCAAGAGTGTAGCTCAGTGCTAGTGGCCATATGGCCATATGTCACATCTAAACAGATAAGTTGTAGTAGCGCTGATTTGAGGACAACAGCCTATAAGTGCTGAAGTTTGTAGTATTTCAACTCAAAGGAAAGTCTTCAAGATGATTCTTATGGAAGATTGCTTCTTATCATCCAGGGAAGAATAAAAAGCAAGCTGTTATTACCTCAATGTCCCATGGTAGAAGGCAAGGCTTAGTCCTAGCAAAAGAAACTATAGGCCTATCCCTTACAACGAATAATTGTAGAAATCCCAAACAAAATATTAGCAAATCTAACCCAATAATATGGTTAGGAAATTACTTACCATAACCAAATATGATTTATGTCAAGAAGGCAAAGGTGGTTTCACACAACAAAATGAGATTTTAATAAAATGGGGGTGGTGAAGTGAGGGAAGGGGTAGACCTCAACAAGGTTGTCTCAATGGACTCAAAGGTATTTAGCAATATCCAACATCCTTTCTAAGAAAGATAGAAATTATTCAACAAGTAAAGGGGAATTATGAAAACCCCAGTTAGTATTATACTCCATGGTGAAAAAGAGAAAGTGTTCACCCTAAAAACAAAAACAAGGAATAAGTCTTTCAAATTGGGAAGGAAGAAAGACTTTTTGCATATCTTACCTATGGAAATCTTCCCCACAACAAGAAAAAAAAAAAAAAAAAAAAACCTATAAGAATGCTAAATTCTAGGGCTGGAGAGATGGCTCAGCCATTAAAGGCTAGGCTCACAACCAAAAAAAAAAAATGCTAAATTCTAGCTGGGCATTGATGGCATATCCCAGCAACACTCTGGAGGCAGAGGCAGGCGAATCTCTGTGAGTTTGAGGCCAGCCTGGGCTGGAGGGCTACCTCAGCCATTAAAAGGCTAGGCTCACAACCATAAATATAAGAATGCTAAATTCTATTCAGAAAGCACAGTCCAAAATGCCAAAAACCCATACGCATTTACACCATGACTTTATGACTTTATGTTTATTCCCCTGAAAATAAACTACGTGACATAATGGGGAAATGCATGAATACAAGCCATGTGTGACATAAGTTCATGAAAATGCCATAATGCAGCCACCAGTGATTGGACTTTAGAACAGACAGGAAATGTTATAAGGAGACTACCAGGGCAATTATGAAATCTGAGTATATATTATTAGGTTCCTGAATTTGGTAACCGGCAGGGAACAGACTTAAGAATAAACTGTGCACCTGTGTGGTGGCACACACTTTTAATCCCAGACTGAGGAGGCAGAGGCAGATGGATCTCAGCACTCCAGGTCAGCCAGAAGTTCCAGGCCACCCAGGGTTACACAGTGAGATCCTGAAGACTAAAACTGTGAATTTTTAAGCAGTAAGAAAGCATGGCAAATACTAACAGAAGTCTCAAACAGCTTCACAATAATTTTGAATGTGTGTTTGTAGATCCATGTGCTGGAAGATGGAGGGAAGGAGAAAGTGAGAATGATACAATGATGCTGTAAAATGCCAAAACTTGATGAATTTTGGTAAAGAGTATATGGAAGGTGGTTGTACAATAAATTCATTAACCATAATTCTGAAGTTATTTCAAAATTAAAAGTTCAGAGACAGAAAGAAAAAGAACCATAGGCACTGACATTCTGAAAAGGATACACCCTGAACACAAGGACCTATGGAATCCCAGTGGTCTGAGAACAAAATTCGCTGGACTTAATGCACATGAGGAAAAATTAGATTTTATTTTATTATTTGTTAAAAATGGTCTACTTTAAATTGTATGTATATGTATGTATATAAATGAGCATATATGTGAGTACAGATGCCCGCAGGGTCCAGAGGGTCCAGAGAGGGCATCGGATCGTGCGGAGCCAGAATTACAGGTGATTGTAAGCCGCCTGATAATGTTCAGCTGTAAACAGAGCTTGAATCCTCTACAAGAGCAGTAACGTACATGCTCTAACTGCAGAACCATCTCTCCAGCCCCAAAAAGATTCTAACTGCAATAATCTTTACATTTGTCCTCAATTACAAAATGCAGGCAATGAGCAATAGTGGGTTAGGAATATCTGACTTTATCGCCAATAGAAATCACATTTTTATCAAAATAATGTACAAACTATTCAGCATTTTCATAATATAGTACTTATACCCACTGCCAGGCTGTATTTAATAAATACATTGTAAAACATATATAATATCACAGTATTTGCTTTAATTAAGACATATTGCTTACTTTACTTATAGAATGTGTCTGTGTGTGTGTATGTGTGTGTGTGTGTGTGTTGCACTAGAAGTTTATACTGAATGTCTTCCTCGGTTGCTTCCCACCTTCTTTTTTGAGACAGGACAGGGTCTCCCAGCTCAAGGACTACAAAGGGCCTGGCTTCTTAAGCAGGTGCTGGGGACCCAAACACAGGCATACCACTCCAGCTCTTCACAAGTTTCCTTTTTAAATATTTCAGTAACATTATTTCAAAATAACTGGTTCTTTGTTGTTCTGTGCATTTCACTTTATTCATTTACAAATGTTGGTCTGAAAATCAGACCATGACCTTCAGAATGGCCAAAAGTTCTATGTTCAAAAAAAAAAAAAAAAAAAAAAAAAGTGAATTACTTCTCTATGGTACAGATCTCTTATTTCTTTTAAATGTGTCTTAATGAGATAAAGTAAAATCTATCACTATTGCTTTGTTTTAAAAACAACTTAAAAAGCAGTGTGTATTACTGACTGTAATATCTAACTTAAGTTTCAAATTTCTCATAATTACTAGAGCAAATGTTATGAACATAAAAACTCCAACCTCACCCAACTGAAGCCTCCAGTAACAAACAGATCTCTCACACACGTAAAAACATGCAGGCACAGAGCGGCTATGAAAATGAATCACAAGATGAAATGCCGTAGCTAAGCTTATATGCCTTAAAGAAAGCCGTTAGAAATGCAGTAGTATTTACCATCTCTCTTTTGGAAAGTTTTTTATAATTTCTTTTATGATTGGATTATAGCAGGCATCCCTTTCTGTTTTTCCAGTTTCACTCCAGTCTCTTACAAACTGTTTCAATGTAGATTTTAACTTGTCCATGTCAAAAGTGGATGCTGGCATAATCTTTCCATTGCCCTGTTTAATGGGAAGAAAAAAGAAAGAATTATTTTATGACAGTCAATTTTAAACATGGTTAAATGAGCAGTCTAAGATATAGGTGGATGAATGAATAATTACTAGTCTCTCATCCTCACCTAGGGTGTGTATCTCAAGTGCAGCTTGAGACCCGACATGAGAAAAGTTTGGTGCTCTCACATCTACCCTCAACAGAGGAAGATTTATTAATCATGAATTACCACAAAGTAAAGCAGTCCTTACTCAGGAAAGGACCAGCACTGAGCTGCTATGGAGACATAACATCCCACCCTCCAGGAGAGGGAAGAAAACCCCTCCAGCACATTGATGGGCAGCACTGACAGTTCACACTGGACAGGCCAAACTGTCTACCATTTGGATACAAAGAGACTTCACCTTCTATCACTGCCAGTCACTTGAGATTTAAGTGAAAATATTTTTATTTTAAAGTGAAAAATGAATATCAACAAATGGAAGATACTGAAAAAACAACAAGGGATATTAATATAGCTAGTAAAGTCTTTTAAGAAATTTAAGTAAGTCTCTTATATGCTATAGCATTCAAAATACCATGTGAAAGCATCAACAATTACAACTGTTATCTAGGTGTTAGAAAAAAACAACGAACAAATGCAATCTCTTTATACTGTTCTTCTAGCTTCAAAACATGAAAACACCCTCAGTAAAGGGGATGACCCTGTTCAAGACTTGGACATACAAATGGTTACCCTAAGATAAAAAGAGATAGAATAAGCTTCACATACATCTTCTCCATATTCTTTATTTTCAAACATATGTACGCAATCATTCACAATGGTCAGCAGTATTTCCTGATTATGATCGATGCATTTCCGGATCTCGTCCAAGTGAAGAGGAAACCGAGGGAGCAGTAGCTGCTGGTTAGGTGGAAGTGATCGAAACTGTCTTTCTGTTCGGTTCACTCGCTCATGCATACTGGTGCTAAAACAGAAAAGGAGTTTATTTTAAATGGCAAAAGAAGTCTCTTGCCAGAGGCAACCTCATTTTAAGATTGTCACCCTATATAACTATCCCCTAGTTATGCCAGACACTGACCTTAATAACTATCCTTTGACTTTTGAAGGATATCAGTTTAGAAAGTTTGTTTCTACTGCATGAGGAATACTTCTCAGCGCAATGAACAACTCCAAAATAGGAGGAAAAAGATTAATTTACAATTTTTAAATTAATTTCAACTTTCAAATTAAACATTTTAGGCAAAACTAGAGAATGGCTTAGATTCCTATTTCCTCAAGTAGAAACATGTTGTTGTAAAAGTGTATTAAAATGGCCTGGGTATATACTTCAGTGACAAAGTATTTAACCAGCACATTGGAGGAGCCTAGATTAAATCCCCAGAATCAAAATAGTAATATGTTTTAAAACTAAGGAAAAGCCAGCCAAGTTGAATTTTCACAAATATAAAGCATATAATACAGAAGTATTATGCTAATGAAAATGAAGATTCTAAAGAGTTTCAAGGGTAATATTCACAATTTTCATTCCAAAGAGTTCCTAAGTCGAAAGGTTACTCTAGGAACTGCTTATTCAACAAGTAAAAAGATGAGCCTCATTTTTAGAACCTAAATATATACTCACACCTAAGTGTCATTTTACATCAACCAAACTGGCAAAAATATAGAAATCCAACTAGACCAAATGTTGGTGAAATTGTGGAAAAATTAGAACATTTACCCACTAATGGTGAATGCAGAGATGAGTACAACCACTCTGTAAAATAACAACATCCTTAGTGAGGCTTAATGTTCTATCAGCCCTATGATCTAAAAATTATACTCCTACGCATGCTCAAGAAGCACAAGCCATCTTCACCACTGCAATGTCAAATAGCAAACACAAAACCCCACAGGCCACAGAAAGCCCATTATTGGTGGTCAGGGTGTAGAAATTATAGTTACACAGTGGAATGTAGAGAAATGAACAAAGTACAGCTACAACTATTATGGGGGGGGAGTGGTGCCTCACTGGCACTCACTGTGGCATTCTTTATATTCTCTATATACAAATAAAACAAGTATTTCTTTAAAATAAAAAGGTACATACACACTTTCTGTGAAGAGCAATGAAGCACAGAAGAATCTCTTGCTATACACACATGTCACAGTCATGTTTCTAGAAGCATGTGTGGCACTCTGGTAGAGAGGCCCTGAGGGTGATGTAAGAGGCCACCTGGTCAGTGGTTGCAGGGACACTGCTTTTTTTACACTGGGAACAGTATGACGACTGTTCTCAAGTCTGTGTGATCCTTTTACACCCCTAAGTATCTTGATGAAACAAGATAAAAATAATGATCATGGAAATACCACTCATTGAAATGTAATAACTGCCAAGCATGTACATGACCCACAAGGTAGGTATCATGATAGTCCTCTGTTCATTCCATCAGCCTTTACTGTATATGAAAACTTAGTGAACAGAGTTAAGTACTTGTTTGGGTTTGGATATAAAATTCCTTTTCTCAAAAAAGAAACAAACAAACAAACAAACAAACAAACAAAAAAAGCCAAAACATGTACAAAAGGCCTGGTTCCTAGCAACTAGTGCTTTTTGGGGTCAGTTCTAGAAACTCTTGGAGGTAGCTGGAGGTGGTAGGTCACAGGGGCATCTTGTCCAGAGCCTCATTCTTTCTGCTTGCTGGCTGCCAGGATATCAGTCATGTTTCCTCACAGCCAACTGAAACCTTTGAAACTATGCATCAAAATACATTTGCACCACCCCCTCAAGTTGTTTACACTGGGATTTATCTCAGTGACAGCATGCAAGATAAAGCAGGCATGCCTACTTTCTACATATTAACAAATCCACAGAAGAAATGCCAGGAAAAAAAAAATGTAGAAAAGTAAAACTACTCAGGAAAGAGAGATAGCAATCTCTCTTCTAGAAAGAACTACTTCTAACCTTTCACATATAGCTATTAAAGACACTTTAGCTGTTAAAGACAGTTGGGCTGTTAAAGACAAATTCATCCAAGATTGGGTTCACAAATACTAGCTAAATGCATTTATGGACCATAAAGTAATATTTACCCCGAATCTTCACCTCTCCACTCCTATCTGATGGTTAACTACCATTCTTCTCTTCTATCTGTGTCTGTTTAGATTCCACACATAACAACATGAACTATCTGTCTTTCTGGGCCTGGCTTGCTGTCATGTAACAGCTATTCCAAATGCAATAGCAGACCTCTCAGAATGGTTAGGAATGTACATCAAGACAGACCTATGTCCTACTGAGCTGGCCCCTGCCTTTAGCTAAGACTTACAGGTGATTTGGATACACCTCAGTGTTTGAGAGGCATTTATAATTCTTTGTCCTTACAGGAAGAATTTTTGTCATGTTGGATAAATGTTCTCAAATATAAATGAATAAAATGGTTGTTTAACATTCTACTTTATGCAACCAAAATTTACTAATCTATTCCCTAACTACTGGGCATTGAGTAGTGAATTTTTTTTTGTGTGTATTCACAGTCTGTATATACTATGGTTTGAAAGCAGCCACAAAAATGCACATTAAAATTTAATCCTCATTGTGAGGTATAAAGGATGGAAACATAAGCCAAGTATGGTATTTGAAGGTAGGACTTTTGGGAAATACTAAAGTTAAAAGGTACCTGAAGGGTAGGGTAGCTCTGATCTGATGGGAGTGTAGCTTTAGAAGAAAAAGAAAGGAGAACCTGAGGATGCCCAGTCCCTTCCATCATGTGATGTCCTACACTACCTCAAGGCTCTATGGGCATTCTCTCCACTAGCAAAAAGATTATCAATATCTATATAGTTCTAAAATTGTCTTAGTAAAGTTAGGCAAACAGAAGAGTGGCAACAATTTGAAGTTCACTGTAAACAGCTCAGTCTTATTATACTTTCTTCCTAGTATTCCTAAGCAATTGTCCCATCATCATCTCACCACACCTCAAAACCCACAACCAAAACTACCAAACTCACTTTTAGTATGGTGTCTCCCCCTTTCTTAGTTAACAGCTAACACTCAAGTCAGAAGTTATCATCTCCAATTGACTTTTCTCAGGCCCACAGTGCACAGGCCCCACCCATTATGGCTAAAGAGTAGTGAAGGGCTTGCTAGCCAGGAATATTGCAGCTAGATAGATGCTGTCACCCCCTCAAAGTCTCCCCAACCCTCCCCTGCCCTGCTAGTGATTCTTCTAGGTACAACTTCCATCTTTATCACTTTCCAGTCTACATTTCAGTAAGAACAACAAAAATCAAGCATATTGTTGCTTTGGTTTTTCATGGTGACTATCCATCCCCCTGGCAGTGGGGAAGGTGAGCTCTATTTACTTATTACTTATTAGTACGCTGCATTTACTCAGACGACTGATAGGTAACTGCACAGAGAGGGATGAAAGAAAGCACATTCCTTTACCCCTAGTGATCTAGTTGTCTTTAGAGCTGCCAGAAACAAGGTTTCAGCTGGGGGTGGGGGGAGGTAGCTCCATTAGGCACAACCCCTAAAAATGCCCCCAGGCATTTTACCAGAGCTGAAAGCAGTTTGATCTTATGATGCTATAATTGGGGTCATGTAACTGTCATGGAAACTACAAGCTAAGGCCCACTAGCTAGTCAGTCATTTTGTACCCTCCTTCCAGAGCAGCCATCCAAGGCCCCTTGTTCACATAATGTTCATGTGTGAGAAGCAGAATATTTGTAAAGGCCTCATTGGTCAAATAGAGTAACTTTGATGGTACTCTGCTTTTAAGGAATGTCATCACTCTAGCTTCTTTGGTACACTCAGGAGCTAAATGGTATTTCTTGCCCTGTGACCTTTAGTCTGAGTCATCTATTTACTATAAATTTCAGTGTAAAACCAACCCCTTCAAAATGTGCTAGGAGTCTAGAACAGGACTGGTTGTCAGAACTGACTTTGATGATGAAAAGACTTCTAGCCATACACTACTAACAAGTGATGGAGAACTTGATATATGGCTAGTGAGAGACCAAGCAACCCATTTCTTTCAGTTCATTTATGTTTATGTCTATCCCCATATGAGTTAGTGGCTGCAGTATTTTGACAGTCTGGCTCTTCAAGACTGTCAAACAAATTCACAAAAGCAACACAGTGCTCGCTATACCCCTCACCTCTTATATTTAAATACCATATTACTTATGCTACACTACTTTTCCAGAGATCTGGAGTGTTTCACACAGACAGGTCATACGAATAAAGAAACATTTTAATGAACCCCACACTCAATGTGTTAAAGAGAGATGAAAGCATGGAGAAGCGGGTCACAACTAGAAAATGCATACAGCATCTTTTTTATACTACAACACTCAAGACAAGTTCCAGGTCAAAGGTCCTCTCCTCCAAGGTAAGGGCCCATCCAATACCTAATAATAAGCACCAATTCTTGGCTCCAATATATTAAAACTGAATACAATTAACATAAGTTTAACAATCTACTATATGCCCAGTTGTTTCCTAAATTCTTTCTACATTTTACAAAAGTAAAGTAAAACGTGCCACTAACAAAATAACCCCTCCTTCTGAGTTTAATTAGGCAATTATTTCATCAAAATCTATGATTCAAGAAACAAGTCTGTCGTGAGCCTGTAAGTGTAGCTAAAGCAGTAGCGCTCCCTGGAAAGCCTGAGGCCTTGAGTTCCACATGTCTGCCACACCTGTCACAATGTAACCGTCAGATCCTAAATAACTACTCAATTTAAACTAGTAACAAAGTAATGTAACCACTGCTAAAACTGGAGCGGGCTGCATAAGAGTGTCTTTTTCTTTGCTACTATGTTTTATTCGTTAAAAATAGAGCTTCAACTACGTTGCCAAGTGCTGTGACATAAAAATAAGACTACCACGAGGGTCCCATGTATGATGGTTTGACATGTTCAAGGGGCCATGCCCGTCTTTCTGCTTCCAACTACAGGCTGAGAATATAGCTACCAGTGCGATTTATGATTTCTCGCTTACCAGAATGATTTATCTTTGCCCAAAATTCCAAATGCACGAAGACCCTTTCAGACACACTCTGACTAGGCTATCTGAACACCTATCTAGACGAAACGTCGAAGTTAGGAAGTTGGGATTACGAATGGGGAAGCACACTTCAGGGTCCTACAACCACGCCTCGCCCACGAAAGGAATTCCATACTTACTCGCAGACTACAAGAACTCATAAAGCCACCTCCGGTTCCCGCTCTCTTTCCCTTACCCTGAATCCACATTTTAGGATTCCGGGATCACTTCTACCCTTCACCATCCGGTTAGAGCCACTCAGCAGCACCGTTCAGTTCTCTACAAAAGTGCACGCTCTTTCCGGGCGGCTCCGGGGAAAGTGGGAAGCCGTCCCCTAGGAGCGCGCGCAGGTGACCGCGGGCTCCGCGAACCCGCCACGAGGCTGGGGGACGGGCTCAGGGCGCGCCTTACCCGTAGTAGCGGAACGCGTTGATGACCTTCCAGAAGTGCTCGCGCTCCAGCCGCTCCTCATCCTCGGCGGTGCCGCGCGCCGGGGCCCCGGCAGGCGCGGCCGAGCCCAAACGCCCGGCGGAGAACTGCACCTCCACCTCCTCGTCGCGCCCGCCGTCCTGGGCCGGCTGAGGCGCGGGCGGAGCGCGCCGCCTTCGCTGCATCGCCGCCGCGGCCCACGATCTGACCCGCCTGCGTCTCACCGCGCCCGAGTGCGTGGTGGCGGACGGCCGGGCCTCCTCTAGACGGCGCCCGCCGCGGCCACGGCCCCCGCTCGCGGCGCGCCCCGCCCCCGCCGCCCTCAGGCCTCCATTCGCGCTGCGCTCCGCCAGGGTTTCGGGACTCGCGCACTCGGCGCGCACGCGCTGACAACGAGGCCAAGGCCCCGCGCGGCCGCCCGCGCTCATTCGCTGCCGGGCTTCCGCTACGACGCGATGACGTAAGGTGACGCTTAGGGGCGTGGCTTAGGGCCAGGTGGAGGCGGAGCCCTCTGTGGGGGCGTGGCTCGAGCAGAGTACCTGTGAAGGCCGAGTGGGCGGGGCCACGAGCCTGACTGGCTGGTTGGAGCAGGGGCGGACTCTGAGCTACAAGGGCAAGGAAAGGGAAAGGAAAAGTAGATTTCCATAAATTTATTTAGAATGTTTTAACTTTAGGAACGCAAAAGGGGAAGATCTTACGCTCCTCTTTTAAACTCATTTGATTTTAAATGGATTCTCCTTTAAGCATCCAAGGAGCTGGGAGGCACAATCACCTGTGGTTGGCATTTTCATGATTTAAGTTAATTGAAATGAAAACAATGCTAAAAACTTTATTTGTGGCTAAACTTACACGAAGATGCTTTAAAATTTTACTGTACTTAATTTTTAAAAATATTTTCATTTATATGTATGTGGGGTGGGGGTAATACCACATGTGTGGGGTTGCTTACAGAGGCCAGAAGAGGCCTTTGAATCTCCCTAGAACTCAAGTTACAAGCAAATGTGGTTTCTGGGAACCACACTCCCACCTTGGGGAGAAGAGTAAGCATTATCAACTGCGGAGACATCTCTCCAATGGAAGCATTACCTCTATTGATAGTTTAGGATTACCAGAGAAAACTCTAAAAAATAGGGGCAACAAGTTCCCAAACAATGAAGCATAAAATTTCAGCAAACAAGCTAATACCCTTCACCAGCATGTCCTTCCGCACTATCTTCCAGCCTCTTAACCCTGCTCTAGAACAGGTTCCAGAAAACTCTTCTTCTATGCCCTCACCCACATGCATAGGCAAGCTTGGCATACACCATATCAAACTTGTGATCTAGGGGAACCTGAGTCTCCATGGTATCTATGATCTTGCTCAGAATGCACACACCTCAATGTGTCTTCTCTAGGACTCTACTAGGTCATGGTCATATGTAGCCAGAGGGAAGTGATGTGAGGGTAGGATATCAGGTTGGTACGGAATTCTGTTGAATAAATATTTAGGGCTCCATCAAATCTGAGAAAAGTAGTGTTGGAACCATCATTGGCTGGTGAGGTGGTTCCAGTTAGTGTAGTTTGGGTCTTGGGTATTATGGTTTCTCTGACCATGTTTCATGTCTGCCATGAAGGCAGTTCAGAGTGCTCTGATGGGTGGTGATCAATGGAAAAGTCTTAAGTTGCTAGAATCAAGAAAGTCATTTCATTATTAGGGAGATGAGCCAGAATCAAATCAGTATTTCTGAACAAGTCTTTGGAAAAGAGAAACAAGCTCTGAAGCCTTGTGAGCAGGTCATTCATTTTGCAAATCCAGTCCACGATGGAGTCAATGGCCTCTTTGCCCATGGTGTTATGTCTACAGTCATAGTCACTGGCACCATCTTCCTTGCCTGTGATGAGCTACTCAAGGTGGAAAAGCTGACAAAAGGTATTAGTGTGAACTTCACCAATGATTGTGAGTTCCAGGTCTACTAACACTGCCCTGAGCACACACTTGCCAGTGCCTGTCTCCCCAAATAAGGTGAATAAGGTCTCTTGAGTAATGGTCCTGTCAGTTGGTATCTTGTCATTAGACTGGATATCATATCCTAGGCAGTAGAGCTCCCAGCAGGCATTGCCCATCTGGACCTTGGCCTGGTCAACATAGATACAGATGCACTCAAAATCTGAGCCTTGTAGCACTCCATGGCAACAGAGGAAATTGGTGGAAAGTGTTTCAGTGGGGTGTGTGTGTGTGTGTGTGTGTGTGTGTATGTATGTAAGAGTACATACTTGTGGCTGACCCCTAGAAGTTGGTTTGTAGCCCTGGCTGTCCTAAAACTCAAGAGATCCCATGAGATAGTGGTGGTGATGCATACCTTTAATCCCAGCTCTAGGAGGCATAGGCAGGCAGATTTCTGTGACTTCAAGGCTAGCCTGGTCTACAGAGCTAGTTCCATTATAGCCAATGATACATGAAGAAACTCTGTCTGGGAGAAAGCAAAACCAAACAAACAAGCAAACAGAAAAACCTCAAAGATTCTGCTTCTGCCTCCTAAATATTCGTATTAAAGACCCAAACCACCACACCCTGCTTTCAGTATATGTCTTAAGAGTAACACACTAACATGTGGCTCAAACTCTAATGAAAAATGCAAGAGTACAAATACAATGTTTTTATTGTAGTCACCTGTAACCCTTCTCCAGACACAATCCACCAATTCCTTGCTTGTCCTTCCAGATTCCTATTTAATTCCCATTTTTCTTAAACACTGGTGTTTGGAAATTATACCATTAGCTATTACTAATTCTGCATTTGTGTGTGTGTGCATGCACACACACACACACACACACTCACACTCACACACACGTCATAATATTGACATAGGCCTGAATAGCCTAATTGACACATTTCAGAATGTCATGGGTAAAGATATCACTTACCTATTTTTCAAATTCCTGAGAAATAAAGTAAACATTTTGAAATTATGTAAAGGATAGGTATTCTCTGTTAAAATACAGTGTGTTACCATGGTGCTTGAGTGTAAACATGGCTGTGATTTGCACATGAGGAAACCAAGGGATCAGTATGGGGCCATACCAGCAAGTTCCCTGCACTGTCCTACCCATCATGCATGCCTACATTTTGTCAGTTCTCCTTATGGCTCTGACTGTACTTATATTAGAATATAATGTAATCTAACACTCATAATTTACATTTTTCACTTTCCCCTATTTTGTGAAGGAGGTGGCATTACCTTCCCTTAGCAGGTAAAGAAACAGATCAGACAAATCAATTTTCCAGGCACATAAACCACAAGTCTGAGATTCTTCTCTTATTCCCTTTCTGTCTTTTTTTGTTGTCATTATTTATGTATTATATGTTTTTTAATATGTACACATATAATGAGATGCATTAAGCTTAAAAATATCATTTCTTGTCAATTAATATGTATACTCCTTTTTTAATTTTTTAAAAAATTTCATTTAACATTCCAGCCACAGCCCTCCCTACCACCCCTCCTCACTACCCCTGTCTCCCTCCCACCCACCCACCCCCATCTACTTCTCCCAATGGGTAAGGACTCAACAAAGTCTGGGATAAATACATGAGATAGATTGACACATGATTGACCTGTTATCTCAATAACTGTCTTTTCTTACCTCTTCTCAGAGCCTTTCATTTCCAGTTAAAGAAACTAGACTTTTTACAAGATGTTGAGTCCCCAGCAGTTTCATTATTCATAAGAACTACAGGTAAGGACTGGAGAGATGGCTCAGTGGTTAAGAACCTTTTCTGCTCTTGCTGAGGATCTGGATTTAGTTTTCAGAATCCACATGGTAGCTTACAACAAGCTGAAAAAAAAAATATTTTTCCTTAAGACTTCCTTGACCTGACTTGTTTGCAATGATTTTCCCCTATGGACATCTTCCCAAAACATGAAACCAACCATGGGGGCTAAAAAAGGCTATGGACTGTTTTTATCAGGTAATATCCAACTGGGAAGCAGAGGCAGGCAGATCTCTATGAGTTCAAGGCCAGCCTGGTCTAGGAAGGAAGTTCCAGGACAGGCTCCAAAGCTACAGAGAAACCCTGTCTCAAAACAAGTCAAAAGTAAAAAGAAAAAAGGAGGGGGTTATGGCCAGGAACAGGAATAACCAAAATAAGCACAGTCAAGGTCATGTCCAGGAATATCAGAAAAGCACACTTCTACTCTCTTCCATTGTTCTACAGAGCTGCTAAATAAGCATTTAAAGTGCCTTCGTTTGTCTGCTGTTGATGAGAATGTGGAGTGACAGGCCTGCCTGCTCTGGGAAAGTGCAAAGGAGTGTGATGTTTGATGGTTTCCAAATCCTGCCTCTACTGAGACAGAAAACTTGCATCTATTTAGTTACATGAAGCAGATTCATTATGTACAGATGGGCAGCAAGGGTCAGTGGAAGCCTGAAATTCATTATGAGCTGGTCCTGCCAAGACTCAGGAAGGCTGTCCAGGGAGGTTGGAGTCTCATTTGTGAATGTGTCATCTGTATCACAGCTGAGAGCTGCAAGAAGCAGACTACCCTGGCTTTTATATCCTGAACCATATGACACACTGGGTTAAACCACTGAAGACCATCTTGTTTCTAGGGATCAGGAACAGAGATGAGACTTATTTCAGGACATTGAGTCTCCAGCTGCCTCATTATTCATAAGAACCACAGGTAAGGGCTGGAGAGATGACTCAGTGGTTCAGAGCATGTTCAGTTTCCAGAACCCATGGTGGCTTACAACTGCCTATAACCTCAGTTACAGGAGAGCCAATGCTCATCTTGTGATCCTTTCTGAGACATATACACATAAAATAAAAATTTAAAAACACAAGTGAAAAAGGGGTGGGGTCCAGGTCCATCTAGGGTCATTCCGGGAACTGTTCAGCAAAGGCTCTAGTAGTTCCTTACAAAACCAAACACACACACTTACCATGAAGCCCAGTGTTCATATGCATATACAGAGAATGAAAACACGTGTGCACACAAAAGCATGTGTAAGGTCAGTACAATAGGTTGTATTTATTTAAATCTATACATAACAATCTAAAGCCAGGGACCAAAAAGAAGCCAAATGTTCACCAGCAGATGAAAGCAAAGATAAGACGTAAAGCTCAAAGAAACTATTCTGATATGGTTTTCTTTCAAGAAAATTTCCAGTAAACATACTACATACACCCTGGACTTTATTAAGGACACATGGAAGCAAGATTCACTAGACTCAGTACAGGTTAAGTGAGGTTTATTAGGCAAGAATGCACTTACACATGAAATTGATGAACCGCAAGTTCATGCTCCAAGGATCCACACCCAGGTTGCTCTCGATGACCTAACAGAAACCAAGAGAGCGAGCTGCGGTCGGGGACCCCAGACCTAACCTAGCCCTCCATTATGTCCGCACCCGTGACCACGCCCAAAAGGGCGTGGTCAGTGGGGGGGGCGTGGTCAGTGCTATAGGGCA